CAGAAAACATTTTTTTTAATTATAGAGAAAATTCCAAACATTGCATTTATTAGATGTGTCTTTTAAAATTTCTTTTTTCTTTAGAAAAAATAAAAATAAAAAATATTTTTATGGTTATTTGCAGTTACAGGTTTTTAACGTTATTTTTAATTTTACTGATGATTTTATAGATTTCAAAAACACAGAAAAAAGGCAGAAAATAAATAAAATTACAGATTTTTGCTGCATGTAAGAAGAAAAAGTGAAAGAAATGAAAATTAGTGTTTCACAAACAGGAGACGTCGAAGCCACAAAATGCTCAGACTTCCTGTGATGGATCATGTGACGACGGACGAACACAGTCGTCTTTAGAGAAACTAAAACCCTCCAGTGTCTGAATGCTGGTGTTAAAATAGAAATGAGTGAAGAACCAGAGGAACGTGTTGCCTCACAGCGTTTGGCAGCGAACTGCTTCAATCATGATGTTTGTGCAGCCGTGAGTCAGAGGCTGGAAAAATATCGAAGGAAGAAAAGGAAGCAGCCGTGAGTCACGCTGAGCTGCTTCCTCTGTGGAGAACTGAGCTCTGTTGATGTTTGTGTGTCTCCAGGACATGGAGGTGAGCCCCACTGAGCTGATGAACATCCTCAACAAGATCATCTCCAAACGTGAGTCTGCTCAGAACAAACTGCTTCCTGGTTTGATCGGTTCATGTTCTGCTAACGTGGTGGACCTCTCTCTGCAGATGGAAGCCTGAAGACCGACGGCTTCAGCATCGAGTCCTGCAGGAGCATGGTGGCTGTCATGGACGTATCCTTCCACAACAAGTAGCTGAATTGTTGTCAATGTAATTTGTGGTTTCTGTGGAGCTTTGGCTGTTTGCTTCGGCTCATTGATGGAAACCAAGTGTTCTCCACGTCTCAGTTCTCCTGCAGACTGCATCAGGTTGTCCTCCAGGATTTCTCTACACTCTGCTGCATTCATTCACCCTCTACCTTCACAAGCCTTCCAGGCTGCTGCTGAGAAGA